CGGCCCACTGGGGGAGAATGAGCTGCAGCCAGCAGCTGCGATGGAGTCGCAGGACTCGCTTGCACCAATACGGGTCTTTGCCACCCGCACTGGTGCCTGTGCAATCGCACCCGCTCCGTCACAGGCGCACGGAGGGTGTGCGGCTCTGCTCTCCTCCACCTCCCGCTCCACCCCAGCCAGGGCATCCCCTGGGCATCCCGCTCGGGGTGTGGGCTCAGGATTCACCCTGAAAATCTGCCACATGCTTGTCCATGACCCCAGCTGCCTGGGTGACTTTGAAAATGTGCATCCGAGTGCTTTAACACCCCCAGCTCAGAGCTGGGTATAGAACACCTTGCTCCCACCCTGGCTATCCAGACCCCAAGGGTGCTAACAGCCTTGATCGCCCTGAGCAGCCCCACCTGCCCCCCACATTTAAGCTCAGCCCTGGGCTCTCTTCCCCCTCTGAGCAGTGTCAGAGGTGTGCCCGGCTCTGGCTCCCGGAGGGACTTTGGACCTGTGTTGCAATCCTGTCTCCTGCTCTTCTGGGATTATGCAGCAGAAGACATCTGTGTTTCAGCGTGTGAGCAGCTAGAACTCGGCCAGAAACCGTGCCTCCCTGGAGAGTTTGGGTCAGCTTTTTACTGGTTTGTAATGGAAACTGAATGAAAAAAGTACACCCTAAAATTTCAGAGGATGACATGCTTGAATGACCTTTCCCTGGGTTTGTGCTGATTAGAGACCCCCAGATGTACCTCAGCAGGGGTGCCAGGGCTGGGGGGCTGCCCCTTCCTGCTGCCTGGCACTGACGTGCCCACCAGCCCCCTTTGTGCCTCGCAGAGGGGGAAGGAAGCAATGGCAGCAGCAGAGGATGGAGGTACTTTACTCTTTGCAGGCTCCTGTCATTTTTGCCCTTTTCAGAGAGGAGTCGGGGGGAGGCCCTGTTATTGGCACAGAGGTGCCTTGCCCCAATTCAGGGATAGCCTGGAGCCCATTTGCCCCATTTCCCAGCAGCTGGGGTGCAGCCCCCCCAGCTCTCTGAGGGACTGCAGCCTTGCAAGCTGGCTTTGCTGGGCTGTGCCGGTTGTCCTCGGGGCTGGGGAGCGGGTCGGGGCCATTCGTTTGCTAGCAGGGATGCCACCAGGGTACCCTCAGCCCCAGCTCGGTGGCTGCTGTGAAAGGCTCCTCTGACAGCGAGGTGCTGTTCGCAGGGTGCTTTACTGTTCGCAGGGTGCTTTGCCAGCCGGCTGGGTGCCTCCTGGCACGGGGGGAGCGGGCGGCAGCAAGGGGTGGGCGAGAGGCGCTGGTGGTTCTCACAGCTCCGGGGCTGGGAAGGGCAGCGGGGCCATGGGACCACACGGGGAAACCCCCGCAGCCTCACATTTGGTTGCTGGGCTGTTGGGAACGGGGTTATTTTTTCTCAGTAATCTTCAGTAATAAAGTCAGCGTCGGAAATCCCGGGGGACCTCGGGTCTGTGGGATCAGGCAGTTTGTGTGAATGCTGTCCAGCAGACACCGAGCATCCTTACATGCTCTCCTTCCAGCTGTGCCAGGGCCACGTGCCCCTGGAAAGCAGACAGCCATCCAGGCATGGTGGGGGCATGGCTCCAGCTCTGCGGACCTCCTGCTGCTCACAGAGCTTTGCCCCATGAGACCCCACGGAGGAATTGGGTCTGTCCCCTAGAGACTTTTACCCACTTTACCTCTTTCAGCCCTGGGTGGGCAAAGCCCTTGGTCCTGTGGCTCTGCTGTAGTTCAGTGACCCGATGGTCTATAATCTCTTCCGCAGCCCCAGGGTGGGGGGTTTAATGAATGCACAGAGCAAGATGGGGAAATTGAGGTCCAAAATGAGTAATGAAGCTTCATGCGAGAGGGTCATAAGGAAGCTATACCATCCGCTGGAATTGCTGTTGTGCGTATTAGCAGACTTTTCTGAAACACTGAAAAGGAAACATATGCCATTGAGTAGAAACAAGGGTTACACAGAAATAGCCTGTATTTTCTGCAGACCTTTGTCCAGTAAGAAATGTTTGGTTTAGGCATTTCAAGGCTTTAGAGTGCTAAGAAAATATTTCCAATAAGAAACTACCCAGACCTTCCCTTTCTTCCCACGACAGCTTAATTTCTTGAAGAGCCCTTCTGGGAGAGCTTTTTGGAGATCCAAGTGCACTCCGAGGACCAGATTGTCTTGTGTACACAATGGCTGGCTTCCTCCAAGAGTGCTCGAGGTTTGTGCCTTGCAGCTGCCCCTTCAAAAGCCACATGGAATCTCCTATTCCACCAGATTTATCCTGGCCTCTGTTATTTCAAGACTTTATTATCCTTTCTAATGACTTGCCTTTTATAGAAGGCAGCCTCACTGCTTTGCAGCTTCCTGCTTCCCACTGGAACTTTTTTTAAAAATTAGCACCGTATTTAACAACAGTGGCTTTTTGGTAGAGGGATCACTGCAATTCTCACCCAGGCGAGTATTTGGCAGTCCATCTGAGCATTCTGTCTGGCAGACTTTTAACTCTGTGTTCTAAAAATGGGGTTAAAAATCTTTTCTCCTTTCGTTTTTTGTTGTTTTGGTTTTTTTTTTCCCCCCAGTGCCTTGGGACAGTCATGCAAATGTGTGTCCCCTAAGGACTGAACCTAGTGTGAGCTCCTTCACAGCAAAGGCCAATGCAAGGAACTCTCCACACTTTTCCGTGATGGCTCTTTCCTTCTCGTTGAGCCTGATCACGTCCTGTCCCTGGGGCTCTCTGGAGAGCTTTCTACTTCTCACAGACATGATTAATTTTTACGCTTTGCTCAAATCTTCCGTAGCCTGCCTTTCACCTGTAACTTTCCAGAGCTTGTATTCTTTTTTACTCTCTCATCTCTATGCAATGTTCACTTCCTTTAAGGTCTTGCCACTTCAGGTGTTCATTTCCACTCCCCTGTATGAGCACACCACCTTTTTTTAAGGCCAGCCTACCTCTCGTTTCCCTTTTGACATTAAAGTTACTGCTTTTGCTCTCGCCAGGACAGTCTGACCAGTAATTACGGCTCTGTGGCCCCTCATTTGTTAGCTGTGAGCTAAGCCCTGTGCATGGTTCAGGAGTCACTTGGGTAACACACAGTGTTTCACCATCCCACTGCCTCCACCAAGCTTCTGAGGTCCAGCCCGATGATTAAAACACTTCTACAGAAGCAACGACAAGGGATCCCAGCTCCTTCCGCTTGCTACATCCAAGTCACTGACACAGGAACCACGGGTGAGGTCAAAGACGAGAAAACCCTGGAAAGCAGCGTTACCCGGAGCACTGGGGCTCTGGCCAGCTGGGAATTCGGGAGTCACGTAAGTCCTGTGTCCCAGCTGCGGAGCTGCCAAGTTCCTCGACCCCAAGCACAAGGCCTGAGAACGGCCGTGGCTGGGACACGGTGCTGCTCCTCGTGCCCGCTCTGTGGCCGTGGCGGGGACGCGCTCCCCTTCCAGCACCCGGGCAGGGCAGGGGCATCCCCACGCCAGGACATGCACAGCACTGGCCTCACCTCTTGCACACGCAGAGGACCCTTGGGAACAGGGCTGAGCTCCGGTTCACACGGAAAGCCCAGAGGAGCCAGCGGTGACAGGTGTTTTCAAGCCAATACAGGTATTTGTGTGGCATTTATGCTACCGCAGGCACTAAAGTGACAGCCTGGATCTGAACAGCGGCCCCGCTGCACCCCGAGCAGATTGGCGAGGACAAGGCACATGCTGCGTGTTTGCAGGGACCTACTGCGGGCAAAGCCAGCGCCCCAGGCACATCAACTGCTGCAGAGGTTCCAGGAGCTCCGCCATCCGAGCAGCGCTGGTGCCACTGTGTGCTCTGCGGGCTGCAGCCTCAGCACAGCCAGCTGTGCGCTCTGCTTTCCTCTGTCCGTCTGCAGCACGGCCGCTTGCCCGCGTGTATTCATAAAATCATAGAATGGTTTGGGTTGGAAGGGACCTTAAAGACCATCTAGTTCCAACCCCCTGCCATGGGCAGGGACACCCTCCACCAGACCAGGTTGCCCAAAGCCCCATCCAACCTGGCCTTGAACACTGCCAGGGATGGGGCATCCACAGCTTCTCTGGGCAACCTGTGCCAGTGCCTCACCGCCCTCACAGTAAAGAATTTCTGTCTAACATCATTCCCTGAAGTGTAACCAAAAGACACAATCTGTGAATGGATGCGGGTGGGTTGGCAATGTGCAGGAGACAAACACAAATTCAACACCAAATTGGCACAAACAGACCAGTCACAGGATTTTATTTAAGGCCTGAATTCAAGAAATTGCCTGGATTACACCATTTATACGCAGATTCGCATGCTGGATCCAGGCTGCAGAGCACATTGCTGCTCCTCACTCACCAGCCAGCACCTGCATTTTTTGATCACTTGACGGAATCAGCTGCCATGCAAAGAACTGCACCTCCATCTCCACAATACCCGTGCAAGCACCTCGCTCCTCTCCCACACACGCATTCATTCTTGGCCCAGAAGAGCATCTGAACGATGAATCAAGCTCTTTCCTGCCCATCCCTTTTGCTCTACGTGCCCTGCTGTGGCACTGCCTTTCCCAGCTTGTGGATGGCCGCGTTCTCCAGCACCTCCACCTTCCCCTCGCCCGGCTGCAGCACGCTGGCCACCATAGCCCTGGCCACCGCTTCCACAGGCACCGAGTAAGCAGTGGGGAAGACCCGAGCCACAATGCCCAGAAACTGCTGGGCCATCCACTCCGCGGGGCGGGACTCTTGGCGCTTGCACAGCAGCACCCTGCAGAGCGAGGAGGTAAGGTGGGTCAGGTTGAAATCATCCCTGGGGAGGGGGGCAAAGCTAGAGACTGGGTTGTCCAGCTGAGCCAGGGGCCCAGCACAGCTTGCTAAACCTCGTGGGGGGCCCTGGGGCTTTGGCAGGGTCCCGAGACGTGACTGAGCCCCACAGTGCTGTCAAAACTAGGATGCCAGTTCTCCCAGGCAGCAAGAGCATAGTACAGCCGAAAGGATACAGGCAAGTATCTCCCCTGTGTAAGATCAAGGTCTGTGTAGAGATAAGCTTTGACCTATGTCGCCCAACCTCTGCTTTCAACCCATGCCTCTTCTCCTTGCATGGCACGTGACACTAGTGTTGGGACAGGCCATGGGAAACTGCTGTGCTTGCTCCCTGCACCATTGGGAAGCAGTGTGCTTGTCCAGGAGCTGCATCTGCACCTGGTGGCTTTATCCACTTCCCAGCCCTTCCCTTCCGCATCCCGTCTCTTTCTCCATCTCCCAGCCTGCTGCCCCGGGAACCCTCCACCTGAGTCCTGTGGCCTCCCTCCTCCACCTTATTACTCACGCTGGCCGGAGAATGGTACAGCGATCAAAACCAACAGCCTGGACCAGGTTCTCCACTTCTCCCTGTCAGAGCAGTCGGGCAGGATGAAAGGAGACAAGAATGACTGCAAGCACCATCCCTGCCGCCCCGTGAATTGGCAGGAGACAGTTGCTGAGCCGTGGGCAGGACGGCACTAACGCCAATGGAAAGCTGGTACAGGCCAGGCACCAGCCGGGCAGCGAGCAGCTCTCCAGGAAAAGGCAGCGTGGGGCGGGTGCCCAAGATGGACACACTGACCGTTAGTCAGCAGCGCACCCTTGCAACCATCACGCTAACTGCAACTGGCTGCTCCGGAGACAGCGTTTCGACAGTGTCCAGCCTGGGGATCCCGGCACACGACACTGGCAAACAGCAGCGAGTCCAGCAGAAGTTGGGGGCTGCAGTACGCAACATATGGGGGAAAAAACCCCTTTTGTGATAGGTATGGCCCCACCTGGGGAGCTGGGGCAGCCTCACCTGGCTGTGAAGCCATCCCAGCTTGGGGTTGTGGAGCTGGGATTACGCTGGAGACCCCAGCGGGTCTTGATGGTGGTTTGAAGAGGAAGACGGATGCCGCATGCGGGCGCTGTGCTGCTTTGGACGAAGCCAGTCGCGTGGCTGTCCTGCCAGCCCCCTTCCCTCACCCCCTCGTCCCCCAGCACCAGAAGGACTCTTGGAGCCATTTGCATCTCTTGAGACCTCAGCTCCTGCGTTCTTCCCGAGAGCCCCAGGAGGAGCCCACCCCAGCTGCCCCCTCACCTTCACGCGGAGGTAGAGGAAGCGGCTGTGCTGGTTTGCACCCTGGGAGGATTGCAGGACAAAGTGTTTGCAGCCCCCTGCCCGCGCCAGCTCCGCTGCCTGCACGACGTAGTCCCGATCCACACGGACAAAGCCAGCCTGGGTGCAGGGGAGAGGAGGGTGAGCGTGGCTGGGGAGAGGGCAGGCGGGACCCCTGCCCCCCGGGGGTCCCCACTCACCGTGCCAGCCTTGGCCCTGGTGGTGCCCAGGCAGCAGAACCCGACGTCGTGTCCCTGGAAGGCGG